ACATCCCTAGCGTTTAACCAGAACTTTCTCTGAACTGCTCAGAAAGAGTTTATCTTACACTACCTTTAGACAAATTATTTGTGCCTCTTTTTTCTTTCTATGTAAGACTGAACTTGGCATAAAATTCTTACTCATTATGCCAACTCTATTTCTATATCTACAATGAATTAAGATGTATTGTGCTCTTTATAGAACTTCAGGTGGACATATTTTCACTGACCATTGACACAAAATGATCAGTAATAAGAAACGGTTCTGGTGTTATGGGCATAATCATCAAGCAACTTCATTCAATCAGAAAATATATAAATTCCAAGAATAAATACATATCCATGCAAACAATTTTGTGACTCATTGTTGCTACAAGAAAGTGTACAAGTTTGAGATTTCATCAATTCAAACAGAATTTTCACAAGTAATGACCATATAAATTCTTTAGGCCTGAAAATTCTGAGAGTCATGACAAAGTCATTAACAGGTGTGTACCAGCCCCTGGATAGAATTATTATTTTTTTTTAGCATGAAAAAATCTGAATTTTAAAAAAGTAAATTTTAGAATGGAAACTACTAATTATTTGTTGCAACCATGATTGATATTATTGATTTCTGTATGAACAATTAAAGAAATGAGGCAATGCAACACAGATTTTTACAAATATTCTGTGATTTACTGGAAACAGGATTTAATTAATGAAAAATTTGATAGGCAAATTGTTTTAGTTGGCTTTTGTATCCCTGTGACCCCTAAAACTGACAAAAACAATGTAGAAGAGGGAAAGTTTATTTGGGGTTCATAGTTTCAGAGGTCTCAGTTCATAGATGGTCTAATCCATTCCTCTGGGTTCCAGGTAAGGCAGAACATCATGGTGGAAGAGTATGGAGGAGGAAAGCAGCTGGGAAATGGCACCAGGAAGGTGGGGTTGAGGAGGCACTCTGCTCAACAGGGACAAAATATAAACCTCAAAGGCACACCCCCAGTGACTTACATTCTCCAGCTACACTCTGTAGTTACTGCCCAGTTAATCCATATCAGTGGATTAATCCCCTGATTAGGCTAAGGCTCTCATAACTCAATCATTTCACCTCTGAAAATTCTTGCATTGTCTGACACATGAGCTTTGGGGATACACCTCATATCCAAACTGAAACATACATAATTATTACTCAATAAACGTCTGTTGGAGTTAACAACAGCAAAGTATTCATATACAACCAAATACAGACCCTTGTTATGGAAAGTCCATAGCATTTTTAATTAGAGATTGACATAAATGTGAAATACAAGAAATCTATTTCATGGAATCAACTTTGTTGTAGACCTGATGGTAGAATAACTGATTTGCGCAGAAAATTTGGTATAAACAGGCTTATTAATTAGAAAGGTCTAATCAATACATGATAGCTAACTTTAATGATATAATTACCTCATATTGATCTATGATTTATTAGATGAATTTTAAGTCTATAATAGATTGTGTAAAACCCAAGTTCTCAATCTCCTCTGATAATATATTTTTAATAAAATTCTTAAAACTCAAAAGTTTTCCAATTTTTTCCATTTTTAAGTGGAAAATATCTCCATTGTCTTGCTGACTGACATTGATTTCCCTAGGTGCAGAATCTTTGAAAGGCCTCATCTCTGCAGTCACAGAAATCTGATTTTAATAGTGCATCTCTAGGTGAACACATTATTAAGGATTGGTTCATGGTAACTAAAGTCACCAGAACCTTATTCCTTTCACCAAATTCTTGGGAGGTTGACTTCTTCATGAGATAGTTGCTCAGAGAGTCTGTAATAGAGCCAGGAGAGGCAATCTTGAATGGTATTTTTGAACATCACAATTTACTTCTCTCCTTTGGAAGGTGCTGGAAAAATACAGCTGGAAATTCTTGTTCTTTGGGTGTCCCCTTTCTAGGATATAAATAGATCATACTCCCATCTACATTACTTTTTAAAAGACTAATATCATCTTAACTATTAGATCTGGATGCTGCTTCCAAATCTCCACAGCAACATGCATTGTTCTTCTCTAAGCTCCAACTGCTCCTTATTTATGTATCTGTACCCCCCAGGGTGAAATAAGTACTAATTATGCTGTAGCATAGCTGTTATCTCTGCTTGCCTAGAACAAAAGCTCCTTGAGGGCAGGGAACATTTTAACTTGTACCCATACCCAGCTACTGCCTGTTTTCAGATAGGTACTCAAATAGATTTTGCTAAATGTCATGTATGTAGTCACACTACTTGCACTGAGAGAAGGTAAGTTTTTACAAGTTTTAATGAGAACTTCACTCATTGTGTACTTTTTAAACTGGATAAAATATGTTTCCTAAGGTTAGATATTTTTGACTGCTTCCCAAGCTGGACTTTGCTTGATCCTTGGTCATCTTCCCTGGAGCCATGGGCTAAAATATCACAAATTATACTTGGTTGTTTTGGCTCCTTAGCATCTGTCTCCCATCTGACTATGTAGATATGTTCTTAAGTTAAAGATACACCTGCAAATGACAGAGGCATGTCCATGAGCAGGCAAAATATGCCACCAAATGGGTCTCTGTCCTTCAATAAAATTGACTCTTTCTTCTGCTTTTTCATCTCTTTTTCAGCCCTATCCTGAAAATCTACTTGATTTCATACAAACTAATGAAAACTGAAATGTTTGAATAGGAGGTTAATAAGTAGCTACACTGAGTGAATGTAATAGAAGTAATAACCACTTCTGAAAATGGCAGGTAGTTACTGGCAAACAGAAAAGACTGTCTTTGAATTGTAATTAGGAAGGGGAAGGAGTCAGTTTTAATAAAATTTGGGGGTGTTAAAAATCTCTAGTAAAGAATTCAGCTGTCATTCTTATCATGGAAATTAATTCTACAGTCAAAGCTAGCTGAGCCTTCAGTACCAGGTAAGAAGTGCCACTAAAGTAATTTTATTTTTGTATAAAAAGTTATATTAGTATTTAAGTTATATCAAATATTATAGATATATAAAAGGTGCATTTATAATTAAATGTAATGTTAATATAATTTATTATCAGCATAATATGTAAAACAGAAAAATTTTAAAAATCAAAAGGACAGATTAGTTTCTGTGCTTCTCCTACATAATTAAATGAATCACACTAAAACTACAAGGAAGTACTTTCTGGTCTCACTGGTTCCTGTTCTTATTTCTAAGTTTAAAGATTTATATATTTTCTTTGTTGTTGTTTTGTTTTTTGGGCTGGGACTTCCATATGTTGCCCAGGCTGATACTGAACTCCTAGGCTCAAGGGATCTTTTACCTTAGCCTCCTGAGTAGGTGGGACTGCAGATGTTTACAATCATTCCCAGCTTAGTCTTCTTTTTTCTTTAATAAAAATCGGGTACCTATTCATCAGTTGAGTTTGGTTTTAAGCCATAAATCATTGAAACACAATATTTATTGAACATTTTTTTAAAGCCAAGAAAGGAATAAGTATTGCACAAGTTACCCAACTTCTGAAATCATACTGAATGTTACACACATTTACAAAAACTAGTTCATTTACTCACCAATTTAATATCTGACCAGAGGATTATAATGATTTGATGTGAAATTCTGAGACAGGAGGATCACAAGTTCAAAGCCAGCCTCAGCAACAGGGAAGCACTAAGCAATCAGTGAGACCCTGTCTCTTAAGTCTCTTAAGTCAAATACAAAATAGGGCTGGGGATGTGGCTCAGTGGTTGAGTGCTCCTGAGTTCAATCACCAGTACTCTAAATAAATAAATAAATAGGGCAGATCAGTTAGTATTTAAGTTATGTCAAATATTTTATATATATAAGAAAAGAAAACCATAGGTACATATTCATCTTTTCTAAGAAAGGTGTTAACATGTAATGATAATATTTTGTATGTATTAAAGAGCTAGATTAGGGAATAGCTATTTCAGTGAAGAATAAGGGTAGAAAATGAATATGAAATAATCTGAGGGTTCCATTTGATTATTTCTTTTTAAATATTTTTTCTTGCTAAAGACAGTTTAGAAACACTAGACATTTTCATAGCCTTGTCCTCTAGATCTAATTAGATTTCAGTCAGAAGCATCCAAATTTAAAGATATGCCTCTGCCAAGCTGGGTCCCTCCCCATCCCCACTCCAATCTTCTACTTAAAACCTGGAAAAGAGGTTCAAAATAATGGGTTCCAGAAGCAATCACTGCACTGGCTCCTTTGTTTTGGGGGAAAAGCAAGGGGTATGAGGTTTCAGTCATTTTTTGTCCCAAGAAAACAGATCAAAAGGAATGTACAGAGGGTTCAAATCTAGACAGCCCAGCAAATCTAGTCCTGTCCCAAGTGACCAGGGCTGTTGGCAATATTTGCTGCCTAGTCCGAGACAAAGTTAACTCCTGAGGCCTTCAGCTTCACCCGAGATAACAAGGATTTCTGGGGTGGGAAAGAGGAGAAGCGGTGGGTGTATTATGTGTGTTGTGGGAAGGTTCCTGGGAAGTCTTCCACAGGGCCAGCAAGGCAGAGGACATACATACACTCTTTCCTTCACCACATAGAGCCACCATGTAAAGTAACACCTTTGGTCCCGGTTGGCATCTGCGGCCTCTGTTATAGCATTCACAATGTTACCTGAGTTCTTGTGTTGCTTTTATATTCAAAGGCACAGGAACTGCAAAGAGCAATTAAAGTCTGCGATAAACGTGTAGAAATGTTTCATATTGAACAAGATCAGTTTCTTAAGACTCTCCTGCAATCCAGCACCAATTACCCCAGATGCTTCCCAATGTCCTCTTAACAGCCAAGTCAACCAGATGGCTTTCAATTCACACAATTGTTAGAATACTTTTATTTTTTTAAGCAAAACAATTTACAACACCCCCCCCCCGCACACACACACCAGTTTGCTAGTGAAAACATAAATAAAGTGCACTTAGGAAAAATGGTTATAACTAATGGTGGTCTTTGAATGCCCTTTGAGTCTGCGTTGGGGATTTAGGGATGATTTTTTTTAAAAGCAAAATCATAAACAGACAATATGGGTAATATGAGTATATATAGGTTTGAATAAACACCCACTCATTTTCCCCCCAAATTCAGTTATAGATTCTTTCACCTGGTTTGCCGGTTGGCAGTCACCTCTGTAGGTGCCAGGGGCTCCCAGGACTCGAGGAGCGGCCCGTATTGAACGCCCCATTCCAGCCTCCCTGGGGGAGACCCCTCCAGAGCCTTTCCCTCCCCGCGTGGCGAGGCCGCCCGCGCAGGGATCCCAGTTCGGTGCCTCTCCACGGTTCCCCTCAATGTCCCAGGCCCCATCGCAGCCGCCAGCGTTCCTTCCTCTTCCTGGGCCACAATCTTGGCGTTCCGGGATTGGCTTTACCCCGTACCAGCAGGAACCCGTCCAGGAAGATCTCTCGAGGGGACCTCGAGCACCACATGCGACCCTCAAAGCCCAAATCTCCTTTCCCGCCTCACTGGGCCACGGCGCCAGGAGCCAGGCAGGCGAAGCGCAGCCTCCGGTGCTCTAAGGCCCCAAATGACCGATGGCTCGCCGTCACCGAGGACTAGGAGGCCCCCGGGTCAAACCTGGGGCCACTCCGCCGCTCCTCGGCTGCTGTCTGGGAGGAAGTGTAGGTGTGTGAGCCGGGGAAAGGGAGCGAGCCGCGCCCTCGGGCCGGCGTGGGCAGGGCGCCGCGGCCTGCGCAGCCCCGAGGGCCCCGCGTCGCTCTCCCGAGCCAAGGTTCTCAGGAGCGGGCCGCGCAAAAGACGTTAGCGGGAGGAGTTAGCGGCTGTTGGGGGAACGGGTTGAGGGAAACAGTCCCTTCCAAAGCACGGCAATCGCGGGGTGGGGCGCCGTGCTCCCTCCCAGGCCGGGGGAGCTGGCCAGAAGGGGCGCGTGTGGCGACGGTGACCGCCTGCCGCAGCACGCCCGGGCAGGGCTGCGCAGGAAGAGCCAGGGGGCGGTCGCCCGTTGGCCCCGCTGGGGCTGAACGCCCAGGGGTCGTGGCGCGTCGGCCTGCAGCGCGTCAGGTGAGGAGGTCGCCATGGCGATGTGGCCCCAGGCGCGCAGGCCCGCTGCGGTTGGCATGGAAGCAGCCCCAGCGAGGCCCGGGGACGCCGCTGATTGGCCGATTCAACAGACGCGGGTGGGTTGAAAGTAATCTGCGCTGTGCGCCCCGCCGCCGCCGCAGGGAGCCCGGCGCCCCCGCTGGAATCTATTAACACCTCGGACCCTCCCTCCCGCCCGCCCCGCCCCCCTCAGGCGGCACCTCAGCCCCATCACGGTGTGCACTTGCTGCTTGTTGGAGACAGAAAGATAAAGCGCCAGGAGGAGCGGAGGTCCCGCTCTGGCTCCCAAGCAGGTTTTGACTTCTTCTGCTGGTGGGAGGAAGGCCGCGGGGCAGCAGCACCTTGCTTGTCACTTGGGAAGGGTACATAACTTTCTGGCAGTCAGGTATTCCTGGATCTTTTGTTTGAGGTCAGGGGAGATGAGCTTCGCGGCAGAGGAAGACTGAGGCTCTTGGGTGTAAACTCCCAATTTACATGGGGCTTAGTGTGCTGACGTGGAGGTTTGGCAGGATGTCTCGTTCCTACCAGCCCTCGGGTAGGTCTTGGATGAAATCCCGCAGAGATTCAAATCACTGTTTTGGTTCAGGGCAGCTTTGATCCCTAGTGCTGTCGCTCCTGGACCTTTCAAACCATAATAATTTGTTGGGAAGATCAGCAATTAATGGGGATTCCAAGACTTGGTACTCTGCCTCCTAGAGATTCACTGAATCCATGGAGCCTCAGCTAGGGAGGGTTGACTAACAGGCTTCTCTGTTTCTCCTGGTGACAGCAGTTTGTGGCGTCCAAGGCAATGCGTCGCAGCAGCTCCAAGAGTGGAGTCGTCCTGGCTGCAGTGGCTAGAGGTCCTGAAGCTTCTCAGATGCTCACCAGAGCCCAGCTTGGCCAAGATCCCCCACAAAGGACAGTGCTAGGGGTGCTAACCGAGAATGGGCAGTACAGGAAGACCTGTGGCCAGGTAATGACCAGAAGCACTGGGAAAGATGCTGTGGAGAATGACTCTTCTTTGATGGTAGTAGGTGCTTTTCTCTTGCAGTTGTACCTACTACTGTCCTAGAATATTACAGCCTTGGATCTGGACTACAAGGAAGTTGATTTCTTAAGACCATCTTAACCAGTTCTGTTTTCAGCCAGAAATAGTGATTATTACTTTTGTTATTTTTCCAACATTAAGGAAATAAGTTTGGGAACTGTTTGTATTAAATATATGTAAAGTGATTCAGGGGCTAGGCTGAAAGGAAATGTGATTTGGAGCTGGAATTCCTTGGTCAGAGTTATGTTCAAGGTAGTGCCTAAAGCAATACTGGGCAACCTTTGCTGTGTTCATTTGGGATAATGTGAGAACTGGGATTGGATCAAGCTACTTCAGATTATACTAGGTTACTTCAAAAAGGTTACTTTGAGAGCAGATATCTTCCTGCTGACAAAGAGCAGTTGGGCAAAAAGATAATGGACCCTCAGATATTATTTGTATGTGCTAAACTTATCACAGTTACCTTCCTTTGAAGATTAAAAATAAATCCAGACACTTAAATGAGAAGGCAGGGTTTGGATCCTTAGGAATGAATTATTTAGATAAAAAAAAATCTTCCCTCTCTGCTATTAGATTACTCTTCATAAAAATGCCTTAAACCTGTATTGTACATGTAAGTGCTTGATGGTCACAATAGTCCAGTGAAGTAAGGTATTCTTTCTGTTTTATAGATGAGAAAGTGTGAGGTTAATATCCCCAAAAATGTTGTGGTAGAGACTAGATTAAAAGCTTTCCATCTGTTGCATCTTTAAATTATCTACCTTTTGATGGTTTGGTTCGTGTGGAAAAAATATTCAAAGTAATCTGTTCAAAGCTTTGGAGAAAATTAAGTGAAAGTGGTTTTAATAAACTTAATTTTCTTAGCAATATTTATTTTTTACAGTCTTAAGACCTGGTGCTTGTGAATTGGCAGTTGTGCCTATGCTAAGTGGTCTCATTTTAAATTCAAAATCAGTAATCTCTCACCTGGTCCCACCTCTACATTTCCTTGCTCCATCCTCTACAACCTTCTTAGAAACCTATTCCCTATCCCCTTTCTCCCTTTAATCCTCCATAACTCCTATTCATCTTTACTCTCAGGTGATGACTTTATATCCTATTTTCCTGAAAATGTAGAAACAACCATTGTTTCCATGTGCCAGATACCTTGCCATTGCTATCCTGTTCTGTAACTAAAATGTTCCTTTTAGATAAGGTGACCTTTCCCACAAAATGTGTTCTTTTGCTTCTTCAAGGATCTCACTCCAGTAACTTTTATTCTTTTATCAGTTTTCTCTTTTTTACTGAGTCAATCCCATAAGCATATAAAAAATTATATTTTTTCATCAAAATCTTTCAACTACACATCTCTTTGCAGCTACTGTCCTGTTTATTGCAAGATTTATTGAGTATTTGTCTATCCTAATAGCACATAAGTTCAATCAGAGAGGATGTCATGTTCTCTGCTGTATTCCTAGTACTTGGAACAGTACATATGCCCGAATATCATATAGGTTTTTATTGAATAAATTCTGTCTATAGTTCTTTTGATTCAATTCTTAATTCTTTCCTTACTTGACTGATCAGTAGCATTTTACATGGTTGACCAGTCTTAATAATTTATTAATAATTTCTTCTTACTCGAGAGCACTACCCTCTCCAAGGGATCTACCTTGCTCATTTGCCACTCCCTCAGTATCCTGATTCTTTATTTCTTTAATCTCTAAAAGTCACAGTGCCCCAGGGCTTAGCTTTGGTCACAGTCTGGCCTCACTCCCTCAGTAATCTCTTCAGGTGTTAAAATAAATACTATTAAAAACCATCTGTCTGGGGGCTGGGGATGTGGCTCAAGCGGTAGTGCGCTCGCCTGGCATGCGTGCGACCCGGGTTTGATCCTCAGCCCCACATACCAACAAAGATGTTGTGTCTGCCGAGAACTAAAAAATAAATATTAAAAAAAAATTCTCTCTCTCTCACTCACTCTCTCACTCTCTCTCCTCTCTCACTCTCTCTTTAAAAAAAAAACCATCTGTCTGTTGATGATTCATATTTTTATCTCTGGCCTACCCCCCTGAGCTATATTGTAGGAGCATATACCCAGCATTCCACTTAATATCTTCACTTGAATCATGTGATAAGCATCTCATACTTGGGCAAAACCAAACACCAACCCTTTTCCCTACCTCCGACTTGCTCTTCCCAAAGTCTTGCTCATCTCAGGAAAAGAAATAGCCATTCTTCCTTTGACCAACCCTAAAACATTTTTTCATCCCTGACCCTTCTTTTTCTCCTACCTTCCATTTAATCTACTTTGAAAGTATTGTTGGTTCTACTTTTAAAAAAAATGTCTAGAGCCTCTTTCCCTCTCATCCTTTTCTATCCTGCTTTAAACCTCTGTTGTGTCTCATCTGGATTTGTCAGTTTTATAACTGGTTCTGTTATTCTGGTTTTGCTTCCTGCACCTAAAATGATCCTTTTATAAAGATAAGTCAGGCCAGGCATGGTGGCGCACACCTGAAATCTCAGAGGCTTGGGAGGCTGAGGCAGGAGGATTGTGAGTTCAAAACCAGTCTCAGCAACTTAGGCATCAAGCAACTCAGCAAGACCCTGTCTCTAAATAAAATGTGAAAAAAGGGATGGGGATGTGGCTCAGCGGTTAAGTGCTCCTGGGTTCAATCCCTGGTAACCACTCCCCCACACCAAAAACAAACAAACATAAGTTAGATCACAGTCTTCCTCTGCCCAAAATCTTTCTGTGGCTCCCCTCTGCATGAATGTCAATCATTCTTAAATGGCCTATGGTAAGGCCTCCTTGAGCTGACCTCTATTTTCTTCCTGACCTCATGTCCTACACTCTTCTCCTTCTTACTCTGCTCTGTCTATTCCTACTTTTTTCTTTTGTTGTTTGTCTTTCCACCACCGCCTCTGGGCTGAACATTTTGTTCACTCTTGAATTTTGGGCACCTAGAGCAGTGTCTGGAGCATAGTAGATTCTTAGTAAATATTTGTTTAATGAATATATACCCCAACCTAGATATCTCTATTTATGTAGGAAAAGTTAAACTTGATAGTGACTTGGAGTCATAGTTATCTGATTATTGTAACTTCTGATTGTGGTCCTTTATAGTCCCTGTGATTTTTATTCCAAAACTACCATAAAGATAAGATTATTTTCTTTTTTTTTAAGAGAGAGTGAGAGAGGAGGGGGAG